GAACCCTAAAAGAAATTAGGGCACACAGTAGAACACAGGTGGGCACAACACACACAGGTCACCAGAAAGTCAGCTCTGATGCCAAGTCAAACAAAATGGTAGAATATTTTCAGATATATTTCATTCTCCGAAAGGAGGTATTTATAATACAAGGTTACAACCCTATTAGGGTTAAACTAGGAAATAAGTGAAATTCTAATTACATAATATCTATACAAATGGAAATAAATAAAAATCCTAATAGAATAAGAAGTATCTCCCTAACATAATATTCGTCAGCAAAAGTATCCCTAAAGACATTGATGGGACCTGATTGCTGTTGTGGTCTTTGTTCTCTTTGATATGTACCAGACTGTAATTGAACTTCAGTCTGGGGTTTGGATGCTACATTGACAGAGGAAGAAGCCTGTCTGGATAACTGGTTATGAAGTATAACATCTGTATCTCGTCTGGACTGGCTCGAACCACATTGTAGTTTATAAAGTATTTGTGGTTCACAACGCATTTGTAAACTCTGGACCTGAAAGAAATATGTCCCAAAAAATGAGCAAGTTTCCAAAGCCTATACTGACAAAAAATGAAGCAAAGTTTTGAGTGTTTGACCTGTGCAAACTATCAGCACATTACAAAATTTTGATTTTAAGTTTCTATAGGAAAAGTGTCATTAGAAAGGACTGTAATAATGTGAATGACAGGCATATTATTCACATTACTACAGAGGTTCCTTGTCATATTTTCCTACAGAAAAAAGTAGAGTGGTTCACTAGCTATTGGAGCGAATCGAGAGCATTTTTTTACCCGGTGATGGGCTGGTTCCCTGTCTGTGTCACTGGTTACTCTAAATTGTGGTTCAACAATAAGCGTTCTTAGGAACTCCTGGTCATTAGCTGAAAATTCAGGTGGAAACGCATTGTGATCATTATTACTAAGGGAATTTGCAAGCAAAAGATCCCTTGCCCGCTCAAAATAGTCCCCATTTTCTGGTGGCCGAGTATCTTCCTGCATTTGGAACAATAAATAAGTGTTGGTTATTATTTTTTCATCTAATATATATAGTGAATTTGGGGAGGGGAAAATCAAACCAAGGACCCTCGTGTGCAGAGTGAACACTCTACACGCCCTTTGCAGCAAGGGTTGGTGTGGGAACCAAATTAAATCAGAACCCTAGGTCAAGTAATTCCTTCCTTTTGGGGATTATTTGACCTAATTGGGAATTACTAAACCTAATTGGGGGTTATTCAATTTAATTGGGGGTTATCCAATTAAATTGAGAAATACCTAATTAATCAAATCCCTAAATACACCAACCCCACTAACCTCACCTACCACAATTAGGGATTTGATTAATTCCCTAATTAATCAAATCCCTAAATGTACCAACCTCACCAACCTCACCTACCTCACCAACCACACCAACCTCGTCAAGGCCCCCTATAAATACTTGGCCACGCACAAGGAATGAGGTACGTCAGAATGAGGTACGTCAACTCTAGAGAGCTCTTCCCTTCACAAATCCTAGCCACCTCTCTCTCTCTCTCTCTCTCTCTCTTTTACATAAGGCTCCGGCCGCCCGGTTT